CTGATCCAGCAAGCTGCGCCCACAAAATCTCAACATTAGTGCGTAATAAGGTACGAACAAAGTAGCAAGCAGTAAGAGTGATGTCGGCCTTGCTGCTGTAGTTCTTTCTTTAAACATTTGTTCAGATATTTAGTCCAATATTGACGAGTCTTTGTCGTCACTTCACTTCAGGATTTACTGACGCTACTCTCACTCAGGTTTCAAGGCCATGTCGTTCACTTTGTTTCGTCTGATCTACGACAGTTTTTAGCCTCGGCTTTGTTTAGATGTCGGCAATATCCAGATGTAACTTTGGACGAACATTTTGTTTGCATTTGGCGGTTATGTCACCGTGTTTCGGACCACATCTTGTACCTTGTATTGTTGTCATACTTCAGTTCGGTGCATCACTGACAAGTGCTTCACCCTCCGTTTCTAAGGTCAATGTTTACCTATCTCTCCCTTGATTTAAAATTTGCATATTATTTGCCTGTGTACACACTGATCCGCACGTGTTTGTCTTCGAACTGCTGCACTCCCTCCTGCAGTGATTTCAGGCCACTGAAAAAGTTCTTTGAGACAACATTTGTTCTCCGGTCTCAACTTTTTCCATTACAGGTTCATTTTTCACACAACATTGATCCTGACAGTCTGCCTGGAAAGATATAGACAGAACAATATGTAGTGTACTCCGCCCAGGTTAATTGTGCGGTTATTAGGGATGGACATTATGTCAATATGTGCAGACATTTGAGAAAATTGCTCATAGAAAAATTGATGGGCGTAGTTCACCTCTTATTTTTTATTTTTTTTGAGAAACAAAACTCTCAAAAGTTTCTAACTCTCAGTTAATCCAACTTAAAGACAGTTCAGGTATGTGGAAATAACAGCATGACATGAGACAGTATCTCTGTGAATATTCACGTTAAAACCATCCAGTAAAAACAGTCGATTAAAACAGAGGGGGGCATTTTCTCATATACTATATTTACGAGCCGTCACCTTTACGTCAGGGTTAAAAAGGAGAAATGACCTCACTCTGTTTTGCAGAAACACCTGCTCACTTTGCCTCATTACCCGCCTGACCGAGAGAAGCACAAACAAGTCCACACCAGCTGTTGATGTCCTGCAGGACAATGAAGTGAAATGATCAGTCCTGCACCAGTCCACCTGGTCTGGTGACGCCAAAACCCAGACCATTACCGTATTTTTCGGACTATAATGCGCACTAAAAATTCCTTAAATGTTCTCAAAAATCGGCAGTGCGCTTTATAATCCAGCGTGCTTTATGTATGATTACTTGTGCTTACTGACCGATTTTATGTGGTACAATGCGCTGAAAATTCTGTCCAAACTTGTATGTACGACGAAGTTGCTCCACTTGATGGATATTCGGAGCGTTACGGTACGCTGTGTCACTACCCGACTGGCCCCGTAACACGACCCCTGAGCAGCCTACAACACTGCTTGACTGTAATGTCTAAACTAGAAGTGCATTCATGTAAGGCAACCCAGGCCCAGAGTATGCGCTAGCAGCAATAAACTAATCAATGCTTAATGCGCCTTACAATCCGGTGCGCCTTATGTGTGAATTTAGACACGTTAATTCACAGTGTGCCATATAATCCGGTGCGCCTTATCGCCAGAAAAATATGATACTTTATTTTTACTCAACCCTTTGATTAGTTAACATCCTTCTTCTGGCGCGTTGTCAGTGAAAATCGCTTAATAAAGCTTTAACTGTATCTTAACAGTGTATGCAAACACGTTGAGGCCTGTGAACATGTTGAATTAAAAAGAACTTGATTTTATTTTAGCTTCGTTCATCCACATTTGTAGGTTTCTGCTCTGTGTTTACTTGCTTTTCTTAGGTCACTTTTCTCTTTTTTCTCCCTTTTAATGGCTCTGCTCTTTAGACTAATGCGACAAAAACAAAGACGAAAAAAAAAAGCCCTGATCCAGCTCTGTTTAGTATGTAAAAGAGAAAATACAGGTACTTATTCTTTCTCAGTCCCATTCTCTCTTGTTTCGAGAGACTCCATCTTTCTCTTTGATTTCAAAAGAGACCCAAATGAGACCCATTATGAGAGACTGCATTAAAAGGGGGCACTCAGGGGTAATGGAGATGGTCTGAAAGAAGAGGATGCTCCAGAAAAATCATAAAAGTTATACTCGTTAAAAAAAGAGGCAAAAAAAGACACAAAAACGCAATGTTTATATGCCAGAGACAGAAATCAACTTTATATGCGCCTGAGTCTGATTTGTTTTCTGTCGCCTCCATGTAGTGAAAGAGAAAACACACACAAACACACACACACACATCCCTCAGAGTGAAATAATAACCCACCATCACAGCCGCTGAATGACAATGAGACTGTTTCTATCGCTTCCGGCTGCTCTCTAGTTAGCTTTCTGATCAGCCACGCAGAACATATTGGAGTGCGGCTTTGTCACAAATTATCTACCGGTGCCTGTGAGGGACAAACTCTGCATCCAAGTGCGATCACGTGAGACTGAAAATCAAAAACACGTGAAAGGAAATAAAAAAAAAAAAGCACATTTAGCCCAATTAAGCTTCATTTAAGAGGGCGTTCGTTAACCTTGATAGGCGTTTGAGGACGGAGCTGCACGCAAACACACAATCGCAGTCAGGGGTTACACACAAACGCACATAAATACACAACAAATGAGCGCTCAAACACTTGGATTCAGCGCATGTAATTTTTCGCTCGATTGATGCTGCAGGCCAGGAGAGATGAGTCCCACTTCCCTGCCAGGTTAATACAAAAATATGTTTGTGTGTCTGTGTGTGTGACTGTATGTAATCCTCGAGGGAGCTCTATGGGAGATGACAAAGCAGAAAAATAGACTGTGGCTCCTGCTGTTTCAGGTTCCAGACTCTGGTCTTATTGAGGATTTTACAGTTTAAAATAAATGCTTTAGCTTTAATCGTATTTTCTCACATTTCCTGAAAACTGTCAGTGTTTAAGTTAAAAAGCAGAACAATTAAAGACGTGTAGTGTTAAAGCTCCTGTAAGGAGTTTTTTGATGCGAATGCAACAAACTAAAATTCATCCTGCATTTTTATTATTGACAAAGGCAAGTTAGACCATCTGCGACAAGATTGAGACTTTTTAAACTATAATTGTTAACACTTGAAACTAGCCTGAGGGGGTAGGTGTCAGCTGAGCAGCTGAGGAAACAACCCTAACTTCTTTTACAAGATGAAAAAGTAAGAAGAATTTAAGGGGCACAATGAAAAATTTATCAATTAATGTGTGTCTTATTGGTTGACATTATTATATAAAGTCAATTTTAGGTCAATTGGTCACATGACGTGGAAGCTATTGAAGGAAAACAACCTTTTTTGAGAACATCAACCGTTAATTTATTGATGGTCCCTTATTCAACACCTGATGTTGACAGCGAAGGTGCTGAGTAGATTTAACAGCGCTGCTGTTGCTATTACTGGTTATGGTATCAGAGATTTTAGATGCAGGCTGATATGATATTGGTTTTTTTTGCTGTTATCGGACCAGTATCCGATATTAATATCGTATTGGTACACCACTAATTATTACATTTGTTTTATTCAGAGTAAAGAAAAATCAGCTAAATGAGATTTTTTTGTCAAAAGGCTGTTTTGTCCACAGGGGGCGCCAAAATTGACACAACTCAAAAATTCCTCACAGGAACTTTTAAAGTGTTTATTGTGTTTATTAGCATTTAAAGATTACTTGCAAGTGTTTTTCCATGTTTGAGAGAAAACGGTAAAGCATGCAATCATCATAAATCAGGTCCTGTTATCAACATCCCTTCACCAAACAGTACAGCAATTTAAAGCAAAGTGAACGAGGGATCATGCACATCTCCTCAAGCAAGTGCTTAAACTTTGGGATAAGAACACAAATCACAAACTTTGAGAAAACAACAGAAAATTCAAAGAGTAACTCAACACTTGATCTGCATCGCTTCAACTCACTTCTAACCGTGACGTACACTTTGTGGCATCCACTCTGGTGCAGAGAGGCACACCTGTGAGCACACCGGGCTTAAACATTCTTAAACTTTCCATTTTCCAGAGAGGTGTGAAGTAACCCTGTATTCATTGACAGATCAGTTAGAAAAACCCCAATCCACATCCGACTAATTACAATGATCAACTTTTATTCCTTTTATAGAAAGAAGAAACCAAAACTTAGACCTGAGATATACTTGTTGAGAAGCTTTGCATTCGTGTCCATGTCGGGCTGTGTGCAACTACTAGATTTGATGGATGTAAACAACAGATACATTCCGCTAACTCTGGATCATCGTGACAAATTCGTAGATGACTGACAACAGGCGGACAAAACACACAGTTGGCGCACGACTCTATATAATGTGGTTAGGGGTAGATTTTTTTCTCCCTTTTATTCCCTTCAGTTGAACTGAAATTGGCCAAGGTTTGGTACTAAACTAAAACGGTCTTAAACCCATGACCTGCTGTTATCGATTGTTTTGGTATGGGTCAACTGGGATGCAGCCAACTAGTAACAAGCTTAAAGGGGGCATGTTGCCACCAACTGGGAAGGAGGCAGCCGTACTATGGTTACCTCCCTTCTCAGTTGTCGCTCCATCCTCTCGGTGTGAAAAGCCAATTCAAGATCTCATGGGTGGGGACGTGCAACAGCCACCTTATGTCACGAACACATAGTTACCAGCAAGTATATCCTTGCCTCAAGCTAAAAAGCTGAACGCTCTCCTGTCCAGTGGTAGACAGCAACAAAGTTAATGAACTTGAGTGGTGTACTTGTATCTGTACTTTACTACAGTGTTTTTTTTTTCCTGGGAAACTTATTACTTTTACTCCACCACATCCTGAAGTCATATATTGTCTCTTTGACTCTGTAAATGTCCTTGTGTCTCGCGGCAAAGTTAAATGATTAATTTTCTGATCGACTGAGCAAGCAGTTTTCGTCCATAGTGTGACTCAAGTAATTAAGTTGTGTACTTTCCACCACTGGTCTTTGTACTGGTCATTAGTAAGTGCTGTAAAACATAAAACCAAGAAGGCAGAGTGAGATGATGCGGAAAGAGGAGATCACGTTCACACCACTGCTGAATACGCTGTCATCGTTGCAATCGGGTGATGAGGGATTTGGACATTTGGGAGGCTTTGGGGTTTCAGTTGGTGGACACTTAAAGCCAGCTTCCGGGTTTTTTCCTGGAAAGACGGGAACCATGCAGGCCGGTTCGCTTTGAGTGACATTTTTGATGAAATCCGCAAACGAGGCCGTATTGATGTAGGGTCTAGCACTTGCAGGCGTCGGGCAGTTTGAATCAAACCGCACCACTCCAATCTGGACCATGCAGTCATGGTGGTGGATCATGAGCGGTCCTCCTAAATCATCCTGTGGAAAGAAATCCATAAGAGATACTGAGCAAAGGAGGACTTTGGAGGAATCACTTCATCGCCAAAGCATCTGCTTTACCACAACATGGACTCCTGATAGCTGCTGGGGAACCACAAAAAAAGTCACGAGATTCACATAACTTTCATTTGATCAATCATGAAAGTAAGTGCTAAAATACGGGAGAAGGGAGACTTGATAAATCCTCAACAAGGTAGACCTTTAATAACATAACAGGGTAAAAAAGGGGTTAGCCACTGCAAACATACCGGGACTAAGCAATAATAAGGTTGGAGTCAAAATAGATGGGGCTAGAGTTTGATAAACCCATGCTAGCAATCCTCAACAGAACGGGGCAAACATAAGCCAATTGTACTGGCTTCAAGGATGAGCAACAACACAATTCGTCACAAATATATTAAAAAGTTGTAGTTACCACACATCTTTCCTGGCTGCCAAATTTCCAGTCCTCTCCAGCACAAAACATGTGACTCTTGACTATGGGATTATAGCATTTACACACATGGTATCCAATTACTGGCACTTTGAGTTTGGGCATCAGGGCTGAACCTAACCAGAAAGAATTCCAGGGCAATGTTTTAATTAGGATGCCAAAAAATAAAAGTAAATATACACAGGTGAAATGTGACTCTTTGTTAGTCCATGATCTTACCAGTTGCAACGTAGCTTTCCATCCCAGTGATGAAATTACTGTCCCCACTGGGTAAGCAGATAGGATATAAGGTGTCTGTGAAATTCACAGGCATTGAAAGCGTCAGAACACATACTCCATCCCTGCGTATTGGTGAGGAATGTGGAGGCGTGTCGCACGAGACATCTACAACCGTCCTCATTTCTTCGCTGGCTTTGATGGGATTTGACATATCCATACGTCCTAGGAAAACCTTTGTTTGTTGAGCAGGTCTAAAAGGATAAGACATATGATGGTTGATGCTCATGCTTCCAAAATGAGAGGTGCAGTTACGTGCAGAAGCTGATAAACACTAAAACAAAAATAGCCAGTTCTTCAGGAGAAAGCGCTCCACTACACTACATGTATAGAATTTTATTGGAGCAGTTATTTAAATCACTCCTGTTGTGACATCACCACAGGAGCAAAATCAAACTGCCTTACCTAAATGATGTTTGCCCAGGAGAGCGGCCACAAACACATCATTGGGTTATGAGAATGAATGATGACTAACCCCCAATTTCCACTGCATCCAGAATGGCTACAAAAAGGTCTTGTCCGCCGATCGTAGCTGAACCATTTAAGTTAATGTGTCAATTTCCACCGGCTTCTTTCCGTTCCACTGCGGATTGCTGGACTCCACAGCTGATCGCAAGAGTTCCATTTTTTCCAGATGCCGGAGCATGCCAGATGAACTCAGCACAGATTAACCCGTGCCGAAAGGAAGTCGGGCACAAACAAAAAACAGAGCATCCGTAATCTGCCTCGAAATTCGCCGATCTGGTAGGAATTGGCGCATGGCGACAATTTCCGCTGTTCTGGATGAGGGCAGTTGCGGATGCGGTGGAAATCTCGGGTTAAGTTTTATATTTGAAGGCAAAAAGCTATAATTCATACATTTAAAAATTTTTGGTGGTAAAATTTCCCAGAACTAAGCCATTAAGTGCTAATACCGGCAATTTCCTGGGGTAAGCTAATTTTTGTGACAGCTCTTTTTTGGTCAAATAACCATGTTTAAATGGTTTATCATTGCAAAAAATTAAAAGAAACATTAACACAGAGTTTGAGGAACAACATCTCAATAGTTACCCACCCAAGTCTGCAATGATGGTCTGTCAGCACCATGTGGCTGTTCAGTAGAGAGCCCAGACATCGGTGTTTACCATCGATGGTGAGGACAACCTGCCAAGGCAAGTGATGATTTTGTGGCTGTTTCCCACATGCTGAAGGGAAAAGATTCCAGCATTAATAAGATCTAAAAAAAGGCCTCTAAGTTAAATATAGAGTAGAGATGAGAGACAGAACGATGACAGCAGAATTGTTTTAATGTTAGTTTTTATGACTTCAACTTCTGCAAGTTGGGGGAAACTATGAAGACCTCACCTGGATGCTTTGGCATGTTTGGATTACACACTGAGGAGAAAAAAATACAACAATGAAACTCATGAGAGTTAAGCAAAAAAATGAAGATAGATCTGATTAATTGTCATTTTTTTAATAAATATCTTGGCCTCTTGGCTTTAGACTGAAGGTCTTAACTTCGACTAATTCCGTCCTATTCATTGTGTTACTACTCCAGATTCCTAGAGCGAGGTTACACAACTGAATCTGTACCAGCTAAAACAACCACTCCCTTAGAAATAATGTGGACATGTTTACATTGTTACAGCGATGAACTGTGAAGAAAATCTCCACTCATTGTTCTCAGCGGAGAGGAAATCAACACCTCCAAAACTGTGTAGCACAGTTCCAGACGTACAATAAGATGGTCAGTGAAAAGAAACAGTCAAAGTATCACCAGCTAAGTATTTTGTCCCAAACTTGACCCAAAGGCATCGTTTTGCTGCCTCTTAGTCGAGTTTGATGGTGAACTTTTTGAAAAGCCCCTTTTATACAAGGGAGTTCTTTATGATGGGGGGATAGATAAACACTTAAAGATTCCATCAGCTAAATTGACAAAAATAAATAAATAAATAGGGTGGATTGCCAAAACAGTGTTGAAATGAAAACAAAATATATATTATATATTATATTGATTCGTAGGTGATGATATTCAGTCATTTCACTGCTTGACCTGTAGGAGTTTGTTTGCTCAAATTGTTTGATGAATTATTGTAAAAACGGACTACAAATGTTGAGAAACAGTTGCTACGCTCAAATGAGATACTCAACTTCATCATATAAATAAGAAAAGAAAAATATGCACCTGTACTTCAAATGGAAACAGACTGAATAAACAGGAATAGACAGAAGATAGAAGATGCCAAACTCCTGAAAAAATCCTGCAAAATTCCTCCTTTTGTCTTTGTGCGTACTATGTTTGCAGTGCTCCTTGTATGTGAAATCAGGCGGGTGCAGAGCACGCCGCTGCATTATTGGGGGCATACATACTGCTGACTCTGGTGAAAAATCTAACTGCTGAAAGTCTGAGTACTGGAACTTGGAGAGAAAAGAGATGTGGTCGTCTTTTTTTTCTTTTTCTTTGGGTTTACCGTCTTTGCAGAGCGCTTTGTTTTTCTAACCTGACACTTAAAGATGCAAAGTCTGCTGCTCTTACTGTGTGTGGACTTTCTGCTTATTCTGCTAAACGTCTGAGATACGCAATTCATAAAAAGAAAAAAAAATTTTTGTCATAAATTATTCATATCCAAAATAGTATGGAGAACATATTAAAAGTGGAATACAAAGAGAATAGTTGTCGGTTTGATCGCCAAATACAAACACTTGACTTTGATATGTTGTAGTATTTTTAGTTTATTTTTGTTTGAGGCTATTATTTTAAACTGAAATATACTCTCTAATTTGAAGAGTACAATGATATTCCACTCTGGAGGACTTTTCCCTCTTATGCAACAACCTGTAATCATCACTAAGTTATTGCATCCATATTGAGACAGACTTTTTAAGTGGGATGCTACACAGAAGCATTTATAACACCAAGCTATAAATTCTCAAAGTGTAATCAAAAAAATCAAAAAACTTTGAGAGTCTTCCTTACCACCAAATGAGAAGATGGTCATCAGGGACAAACCGCACAGGAACTGGTAGAAAGCCATTTTTCCTCTATGGCCACCTCACTTTTTCCTCTGCTTTATAGAAAATAGTAGAAAGTAGAGCCACCCACAATGCTTTAACCTCCAATTAGCTGACACAACTTAGTCTCCAGCTTGTTGACCAGCCCACCCCCCAACCACATAGAGCTCTAAACCAGGGGTTTTAAGAAGCATCAAGCCAAACATGTTTGTCCTGATTCCTTTGTTTCTGCTGATGTTTGACAAGTACGTTTCTGAACAGTATGTTCTTCCATTGTGGTCGACACAGCCACGTGAATGTCCTCGGCGTGTTCTCACTCTTCTCATTAGAAAAAAAAAAAAGGTAAAGAGGGTTATGACGTCTGCTCAAGTTGTGTTTCCAGCAACATGAAAAACTATTGTTCAGTAAATGGGAGAACTCAAGAGGCTCCAGCACTGACTTTGGGCATCACAGTTGGATTTCCATCGCCCTGTGGTGTGTCACTTGGTCAAATATTGGTTTAGTCCATTGAGTTATTGGATAAATGTGGCGTGGAATGTAAGGGATCAGTTTGTAGCTCTGCTTAGGTGTTATCGGAGCCTGGGTTGCTTTGATGGCGGCCTTCAGCTGCTCTGTATGGCTTGGGTTGAGGATTCAGGGCAGGCCACTTGACTCGCTGATAAAACACAGAGCTGTCATTGGCCTGGTCCACACAGAAACTAAACTTTTTTGTCGCGTTGGTGTTTATTTTCTAAAAACGGGTCCTAGAGTTGATAAAAACTCTCTCAGGACGCCTGTGCAAGTCCGGCCAAAACAACATTTATTCGCGTGCTCTGTACTCTTCTGCTGTCTTACTGGCTTACATGATTTTCGGTCAATTTTTAGTGCTGTCGCATTCACACAGAAATTTCCCGAAACAATTCTGTCTCTACAGAAAACTTTTTCAAAACAAAACGATATATCGTATATTCGATTCCGCGTGGACAAGGCCATAGCCAGCAAACCAACTGGTGGTAGTTTTGGTGCTGTGGGTAGGTGGTATGTCCGACTAGACAAGGACATTAGCACTGGTTACAATTAGGCCTGTCACGATAACAAATTTTGCTGGACGATAATTGTGCAACAAATTATTGCCGATAAACGATATTATTGACACCGTTTTTTAAATTATAGATAATGATATTAAATGGCATAATAATGCGAGTACACCGTGTCAAAAGTGATAAACTTTAATTTCACCCACGACGAAGACGTAACGTTGACGAGCTAAACATAAGTCGGAGATGACTAAAATGTGACGAGAAGAAAGTGCGTTTACGTTGATGGGACGAGACGAAAATGACGAACAGAGTTGCAAAACTCAGTCAGTTAAACACTAAACATATAGGAGCAGCTTCAGTCCGCTCTGACAGCTCTCATCAGCCTGCTGTGCTCCTCCAACACACAGACACACACGCGCGCGCACACACATGTGGAGTTTTGTGGTTGACGAAAACAAAACTGGTTTAAAGCCTAAATATTCCCACACTTGGGCTGTTGCGTTCGGTTTAGACACCAAAGCTGTCGTGTTCATTCTGTTAGCTTGCTTTTCACTCACGACGCTCACTTGCAGCACTGTATCCAAAAGTCTGTGTCTGTGTGCCTGTGAGCGCCAGCCTCCTCGTGACAAAGACACTGAATGACTGACAGGAGGGTTCACTAACTCCGTTCATTCCGCTATAGAGCCAACGCCCCCAGGTGCCGAGAAAAATGCGCAGAGTGAGACCTCTTCTCTCATCCAGCGTGTTTGGCAGCGAGAGAGGAGGAAAACAAACGCACGTCAATTATCGAGGCTGGCAAAATGACCGACCTCGTTTTTATTTATCGAGCGATAAGGCGATTTATTGATTATCGCGACAGGCCTAGTTACAATGCTGGTCACGGAAACTGTTCTATGTTTTTTCAAGCCCCAATGTGCAAAACAAAGAAGTACAGTATTACAATGAAGTATTAGCTGTTTATTCAGCTTCAATCTGAGTCAAAGAAGAGTCTTTTTGGTCAACCTTTAACAGCCCTGTGGAAGTATATTAATGTCAGTAACTGAGCAAAACCTTAAATTTACTCATACCTGTACATTTCTACACAAACACATCTATGTTTGCTATTACTGTGCAATTATATAGTGTTATACTTTTGACAAATATCTCACCCTGAAGCTTTTTAGCTGTCGAATGACGACCAATGGAGTTTTGCCCATATATTTAGATACCCATGTTCCTTCATGTGCACTGTCCCTTTAAATAAACTGGCAAACAAACTCTTATTGCAAAATTCTGAAAACATTCTCACACACTGAAACAAGTTTTACATGTGATACTCTTGTGAAAGCGCCGCAGGTGTATAAGAGAAATAATCCAGTCCAACACGTTCTGTTCATAACTTTCCTGAGTCTATTCTTCACACTGCGCTATGACAAGGTTTTTCTTGTTTTCTTTCATTTCCTCCCTCCATATTGGCTCGACACTGCCACCTGCTGACACAAAAGACCGACTCCCACTCTGAGTAAACAGAACATAAACTCACTTATTAAGCAATACTTCATCTGCTTTGTATTTGTGCCATATTATAAAAGAATGAGGTAAATGTAATACAAGAAAAAGTCAAACATGAGTCATAGATATTACAAGAATTAAGATGCAAGTAGCATGATGAGAGAAAAGTTGAAATGTTACTAGAATACAGTTATTTCTAAAACCTTTGAATAGAGTTTTCGTAATTGGAGAAAAATGTCCAAATGAAGTCATAAATGTTGAAAAAGTGATCCCACCGTAGAAGTAGAGACTAACCACAGTTCCAAGTTACGCCTTTCAAAAATAAATTTACAACTTTACAAAAAGTAGTTGTCACGCAAATCCACGATAAATACTGATCTGCACCCATCCCTCAGGAGTTAGGGTTACGTCGATAAAATACGTAGATATGACATTAATATGCTGAAGGTGGACCGAACGTAAGCTTATCATTTGAAGAGATAATTTAAAGGAAAATGCAACTTAATTAATTATGTGGAATCCAAAAATTATTTAAATAGCTAAAACTCCCTGCCCTCTGCAGACCGAGCAGACTTTGCTTTTCTTGTCTTTTACATGTCTCATAATATCTTCTGACACAAAATCTCTTTTTGCTCAGTTTTGACGGTCAAATCTATCTTTATTTTTAATTGTTTATTTTTATTTTTTAAAACTTGCTTTAAACAGACACATCTCAGGGAACAAAAATAACCCAAAATAGGATGGACTTTTGGAACAATAAGTGCTGACAGATATTTCATTTTAGGGTGGGAAAAACTCTGATAGTATGAATTTGACATTATCCCGATTATTACCTGGCCACCTACCAAGACATACACAAACTGACACAAAATACTGATTCAAAGAGGACCTCATTGCGCTCATCCGTACGGGACCAAAAAGCCCCCAAATTTAATGATGGCTAGAGCTTCTATCGCAACACAGTCCATGGTTGTAACAGGCTGACTATAGAGTTTATTTCCCTTACATTTCAACGTACTGTATATTATTTCCCTGGCACCTTCTCTTGTGAATTTAGACAAACATTTGTTTCATAAGTTCCTGAAAAATTAGACTTTGTTGCATTACTTTTTAGAGTAGAAAAATATGCACAGGAAACCAACAATTGTGTATATACTTTATTGATAGTATGGACATTATTGATAGTTACAGTAAGTTGTGAGGACACAGAAAGTAAATGCTTTTGTGTATGCACAGTAAATCATGACCCTTGCTTTCAATCTGATAAAGATTTACAGATATCATCCTAATGTAGCAGGTAGGATTTGGAGGCAGAAGCTGCAAGCTATGTAGCCTCTCCGAAAGCAGGTAGACTCCTCCCCCTTTTCTCTACCCCCTATTTAAGGCACCTGTGGCAGGAGATCTCCTTTTCCTTTGTCTGTGCCTGCTTGCTACCACATGGCCCGAACCAAGATAGCTTGCTTCCAGTTTTTTGCTTTTACCTGGCTGTTTGGCATTCACTGATGCAAGGAATGTAAAGTGGGTCTACTCTTGTGTAAACCTGAAATTGGTCCTTATCCCACATGACCACACTAACATGGTAAGAGAAAAAAAATATTGCTCCCAAACTCCAGAAAGGCCATTAAAAAGCCATGACACATCTGTGACTTTTCCAAGTAAAACATGTTAAAACCTTCCACCAAATTGAAGGAAAGATTCTGAAGTCCAACAAGATGTGAAATTACAGTACCCTTCAAGATCAGCGTGTTAAAAAAACCCCAATGTATATGCTGTTGGTTTTGTACACTTAGCATCCAAGAGATATAGTATTTTGATTATACAACCCTGTTCTACCGTTTAAAAAAGCCAGATAACAACCAGCGAGCTGGACGCTTCGGCTGTAGAGCTCAATAATTTGCAGATCACCATTTTAGTGTTATCAAATTAAAAAAGACAGAACAGCAAGAAAGATTAAGGGGTAACTGTGTCTCACAGCAACAGCATCATCAAAGACATCTTCTGGCTTGGTGGGTGCAATGGTTGTTGGTGCGATGGCGGTGGGTTCTGTTGTAGTGGTTTCGTATGGGTAAAAGTCGCTATAGTCATCATGTCCATGTGTTGTCGTGGTGACTTCAGGTATAATGGGTATATCTGGGTAAAGGTCGCTATAGTAATCATATGCATATGTTGCTGTTGTCTGAGCGACGGTGGGACCGTAAATGATGTAATAGGGATCATATATAGGGGTTGTTTGGGTTGTTGTTGTTGTTGTTGGTGGTGGGGTGGTGGTGATAGGTTCAGGTGGGATGGCTGTTGGTGAGAAAAGGTCGTCAAAGTCATCAGATGCAAAGGTTGTTGTTGTTGGTGGGATGGTGGTGATAGGTTCAGGTGGGATGACTATTGGTGGGATGGTGGTGATAGGTTCAGGTGGGATGGCTGTTGGTGGGATGGTGGTGATAGCTTCAGGTGGGATGGCTGTTGGTGAGAAAAGGTCGTCAAAGTCATCAGATGCAAAGGTTGTTGTTGATGGGAAGGTGGTGATGAGTTCAGGTGTAGCGGTTGTTGGTGGGATGGTGGTGATGGTTTTGTCTGGGATGGTTGTTGGTTGGACTGTAACAAAACCGATTGGTCCTTCAACTTGATTCCTGATTGATTCTTGGACCTTGGATACATCTGAGTATGAGGCAAGGACTTTGTCCCGGGGACACGAGCTTCCTAGATCAGGTTGCACAATGCCAATCAGGACCCAGGTTGAATTGACGCGGGTTGACAGTGAATGCCCTGAGTTATCCTGTGGACAGAAAGTAATAACAGTTTATGAGCTGACAGTGGAAATCTATAAATGGGAGAACTTCACAGAAAAAACCCCCAAAAAACTTCTACTCCTGTTTCCCCTGATTCTCTTAAGTTTTGACGATGTATTATACTGAAGAAATCATCGTTTTTTTTGTTTTTTTTTTCAGTTTTACACAGTTGTCCCATTTGCCCACATAGTCAGTGACCCTCAAGTGAGTTCTCTCTCACATTCCAGCTGTAATGAGCCATCCAAATTGATAATAATGCAGCATACTACTGTATTAGGCTGCCCTCTGCTGGATCACATTCCAGAGGGCCTGCTCATCATAACCGTGGTTATAAATTTACTTCTATGTGGTGCACTGTGCAAAAGAATGTGCAACTGAAGAGGGTGAATAGCCTCCTGGACTGATGTTAGCTTTAAAGCTACATAAAGATGAGCATCAGCTTGTTTGCACGTTACTTGATACTAAGAAAAACACTACACAGGAAATCACAAATAGAACTTTTTATTACCCGACATTGCTCCGCCTCGCTCATATTCCTCTCTTTGGGTCCAGCACAGATCTCCTCCTCTGAGATACGAACACCTGAGGATCTGCACTCATCATTTCCAGCAACCTGTATTTTTACATTACCAGTTTCGACACCTGTTCAGAAAACAAGAGAAAATCAAGATTTGGACTGTGATTATTGTGTTCATGCGTTATTATCAGAACGAGATCTCACCGTGAGGGACAAAGGTCTCCATGCCTATGGAGTAAGTGCTGCCTTCTGCAGCTACGCAGATGGGAGGTATGGGGCCGAAAAGAATTACAGGTGGAGACAGCTCCAGAGCACATACAGGTCCATCGGTGGAACCGCATGTATTGGATTTGACACGATATTGAAAGTTTTTCAAAAACACGACACTTGAGTCACCAACACTGAAAAATCGAAAAACATAAAGACATCTATGTTTATCTTGTTAGCCTCAGAAAAAAAGGTTAATCAGGTTAATGACAAGCAGTGAAGTCAATACTGATGGCATTTAATAAAGCTGTAATGACACTGGATGAATGCAGTATGTGGTTGACGAGATGTTTCTAGAGCTCAAAAGACTGGAGAAAGAGGTCAATACAGTCCATTACATTTGTCAAGGTTCCAAAAACTTCCCAATAAAATCCGATAGACAACACAGAACATTAGGTTGCAGGTTAACGCTCGATAGAACTGAATAAAAACATGGGTTTCCTACAAGTCACCACTTCTAAATCAAAGAATTAAAGTTCCCCAAACAAGCTAAAGGTGGAAATGTTGTTCATACTGTTCACCATTTTGAAATGTTATCAAAAAGAAGATGCTCTTCCACAAAGTTCAGGCTATCCACCTGTGACCTGAACACTTTGGACAAAGTTATTACCAGGTACTAAGAGGTTCCCCATTGTAGCTGTCCTGTTGGAAGATGACAAACATAGAAACAAATAGTTTAAGAGAAAATTATTTCAAGAATCTCTCACCCTCTTCCACAAGCAGGCGTTGTCAGTACCCACTCTGTGTTGATAAGGGAGCCATAACAAACACTACTGCCTATCAGTATTCTGGCCTCCCAAGGCAAACTTTCTGAAAGATCCTGCCCTTCGCTCACTCTGCCGCAGTCTGAAGGGAGACGATTTTGAACATTGAGAATATCCTGACAGTTCTCGTTGCTAACATTTTAGATCTCATTAACGAAACAGAAATAAATCAGAAATGTGAGGAACTTGGACAGGTGGACTCTTACCCTGCGCAGCTGAGTAAAACCCTTGAAGGAAAGTGATAAAACAAGAATGTTAGAATAAGGCAGATGATGACTTGCACTTACCTTCACAAACAAAAACAAAGAGTGACATGAGTAGAAATGCTTTAACTTCAGGTCAACTTCATTATCCCTGTGAAGGGCACTTTGTGTAGCAGCCAGCAGTAAGAAGATACAAGCATTGAACAACCTTATAAAAAGAATAAAAACAAGAAATACACACTACACTGAAAAGTAGAGTCAAGCTGCTTATGTTGTGGTGACCAGCGAGTCAAGGATCCTTTCCTTATCCTTGATGGATATCAGTAGCCTGGCTGGGCCATCCAGTTGCATGAATCACTGGCCGTTCCTTCCCACAACAGTCTGGACTTCGGCCAATTGGGAGCCCTAAAAGTGGGCGGGAGTACTTTCCTTGATAGACAGACTACTGTAACTGATCACCGTAACCAAACATCTGACGTCATCACAGTGCACAACTGTGTTCCCTGCTGGGCTCTCAAGCATCAAGTTTGGTAATATTTCAACGTGTGCGAGCAAACAATGTCTTTTACGTCTTCTTCTGCAGATATAAACGATTTCTGCCGACTTTGCAAAGTCAACTGCAGAATTAACAGCGTTCAGAATTAACAGCATTCAGAATAAACGGCGCTTTGAAAAGACCTGCAGCATGTGTTAAACGTCACCATCTACACATGGACCAATCAGGGGCTGCCTTTCACTGTTGTCCGGGGAACAGTGGAAACACAGTCACTGATTGGCCCGGTTATTTTCTGATTTCTAATACTCGCTCCCAATTGGCCGAAGTCCAGACTGTTGTGGGAAGGAACGGCAAGTGATTCGCGCAACTGGATGGCCCAGCCAGGCTAGGATATCAGGGCTTGACACTATAACTTTTTTCACAAGGAGCAAGTGTGGTCCTAAGTTAAAAAGCAAGGGGCACAATGAAAATTGATCAAATAATGTGTGTCTTATTGGTTGACATAAATACTACTATTTGAAATCAATTTTAGGTCTTTTGGTCACATGATATGGAAGCTATTGAAGGAAAAAAGCCTTTTTTGAGAACATCAACCGGTAATTTATCGATGGACCCTTATTCAACACCCGATGTTGACAGCGAGTAGATCTAACCACGCTGCAGTTGCTATTCCCGGTTATGGAGAGTGAGAGGACACCGGTAGATCCGCAGTGAATGTCCATTGGATATCCAACCTAAAACTAACTTCACCGCAGACTAACATTTGTTGCCTCAGCTAATTTTTTTTATACGCACATGTGCCCCTTAATACATTTTACAATTTGCATATATCTATTTTTAGTCGCAAATGCGAGTGAAACGGTCGCACTTCCTTCCTCAGATTTAGAAATCTGTGGTGTGTTCACGGGTGATTAATTTCTGAGGAATTGTCACGTTCTCATAAAAAGTGGAACACGCTGATGCAGTCTCTGTAAGTTCATTAAGACCGGTGCAGACGTTCTCAGTCAAGTCCCAACCTGTGCAGCTGAAGCAGTCCTAAAAACACTAAATTGAGTCCTCAGACCAGACTGGAACTAATCTTCATTCCGGCTTCCTTCTCTCCAGGACCAGTTTGTATGATGGAACTAAATGTGAAACATAGAAATCATAAATGCCCAAAGGAGCTCTCTGACAGGTTCTGGCAAACTCCTTTGATGGATCCATAACAAAGGACCAGGTATTTTGTAAGACAAGTTGGACAAGTGAGGTACGGGAAAAACTTAAAAACAATAGTCTCACTTTGAAGATAGAAAACATTATAAAGGAAAGTCCCGATGTTAGATTAACTTAAGACTAAAAGGATTTAAGTTTCCATCAAGTAAAACTGAACTAAAACCATTAAGGGCAAAAAAAGGCTAAAATATGACTAAAAGCTTGGATGTTTTTGTAAAAAAAATCCAAGATTTAGGTCTCAAGTAGCTGACAAACTTTTTATCGGTCAGTCATCAAAATTTGATGATTTCGACCTGGTGACTGTCGGTAAGAAGTCTGCTCACAGTCTCCTGTAGGGAGCCAAACAACAAGCTATTAGTGAACTGATAACAGATCTAAAAGAACTCAAATTACAAGGATATTAGATAATCCTCTGACATGAGTACACAACAACTGCCTAAATTTAATGTTTAGATATTTTTGTGCATCAGACCAATCAGACCACTTGCGTTATGGTGGCATTCTTTGACAAGGTAGTAAAACTAAACATGACACCTGCCTCTAAGACTTCATCTCCTCCTCTAAGCTGGTTTATAACCAGATTCATCCAGCAAACATTAGCTGAAGAGGGAAATTTCTGTGAAATGTGACTTACTGCACTTTTCAAAAACCAGTTTTTGGCATAAACCAACAGTTTTTTCAAAACCTGTTTTCAGCCAAGATGACCAAAGATAACAGGAGACTTTTCTTTACATTGAAAGTTTTATATCTCAGAAAAATACATTTCTTTCCTCTGACTAAATCTTGACGAAAACAACACAAAAAATCATGTCAAAATGAACACACTGAGATGATTTTACATTTTACACTCCATCCCACAAGCTTCCTTAAACTCTACATAAAACATCTGTCTTACCGTCAGGCGAGAGGGCGATCACGACAGCAACGCAGCAAAAGAACTTGTAGAGAGCCATTTTCCACCTGTGCCACCCTCGCATAATTCGCATCTTTATGTACTTACTGCCAACCCAAGGAATGAACCAATGGCATTTTACAGACCTCTTGCTTGTAATTGTTGTGCCGCACCTTCCACCAGCACAACAACTCCTGCTGTCGCACACACCCCTGGATCACGGCCACTCAACAAGAATCCTTCCAAACCTGTTGATACCTGTGTATGTCTCATTTTTTATCTGTCGATAGGGCAAAGACTTTGAAAAGGCAGTCATCTGTAAGAAATTTTAGTATTGTGTATTAAGAAATCTTTAAACAGGTAAAGGGGGACTTAGGTGTTCTCCACCTTGGCCCTAAGTCCCCATGTGTTTTTGTGTGATCAGGAGATCAGTTTCTGTTCTAAAATGTAGTTTGACCAGTTGCTGCATCCACCATGAGCGAATGACACTATTGTACAATACATTAGTGATCCGGATGCAACAACCGCTCTTGCCGACAGCCATGTCCAAACAGAGCAGACCAAGAGGCCAGCCAAAGTTGTCAACTGAGGGGATCGCTTGGAATTTAGGAAGTGGTTCACCTCCTACTTGACTCTTTTTCCAAGTGAAACAGGGTGGGTTGTAGAATCTATTTGGATGATGTGGTTGTTCATTTTGGCTGTAGGTCCTCTCTTCTGGAGTGGGAATTTGTACATCCGTTTGGCTGAGGCACTTCTCACCATTAACCTTATGACAGTGATGTACCGTGGTCGGGTTACAGGGTACAGTCTGTCCTATACAGGTACAAGTGAAAGCCATTGTGTTACCAACTGCTAAAAGAGCCTTGTGTGCTTTTTAGGTCAGTAGGTCACTGCACAAATATTATAGTGCCATTTTCTGATTTTCTGAAAGCCCGAGCAACTTGTTTGGTCACTCTCTTGTCATGTCCATGCACTGAAGCACACCTTTGTTCATGACCTTTGGTTTGATCATCCTTCCCGTGGGCGTAGACTCTAGTTGTAGGGTTTTGTATTTTTTTAAGGGGGTGATAGCCCTGTGACTTGCACAGGGCCTGATTTGCATGTTTGTTGCCCTTTTGCCAGTTCTGTTTGTCTCCCTGCAGGCCACTGGTGGGTGTGGTTTTTGCAGCACCTGGGAGTACCTGGCCAGTCTCCCATGTTTTGTTAGCTTGGGCCATCAGCCAACTCATGACTATTAATAGTCATGAAAGTGTTTAAAGATGAAAGAAAATGAACTGGAAAGACACGATATACCGTGCATACCATGCATTTATTAGATTTGCAGAAACAAACATCATGCTGTGTCATGGCCGATGAATGTGAAACAAAGAATGCCTGTGCTTTGGCTCACCTCCAACCTTTCAACAATGACATGAATTTATGGTAAGGATGTTAAATTTCGTATCCATGACTTTCCTCGCCTGTTCTCTACATAAATCACAAAACTCATTGAGTAGGCATTTGGACTAAAAAGCTAACCCTCTTACTTACCTGTAGCTAGTTAGTTTAAAGAGGCTAAGTAAGGAGCCAAAACACAGAGTGAGATGAAAAGGCAAGAGGGTGTTAGATCGACACCAGTGTCAAATGTTTCACCATCATCATCCTTGCAATCATCCCCGGGTGAAAACTTTTGGGTACAATGAGATGTAGGAAGTCTGATGAAATTGGTTGTTGACCTAAGTGTAGTTCTTTGGAGTTCAGTTGTTGGACATGTAAAGGGGTTATCTGCGTCAACTCCTCTCGGATGGACGTGAACAAAACCTAGTTTGGTATTCCCGGTTCCGAGGCTGATGAAGTCTTGAAGCGCAGACACTTGAAAGTAGAAGTTGAGGTTTTTATGCCGGGGGCAGAGTTGACCAGGATGTACAATGCCAATCTGGATCCAGGTTACATTGACAAGAGTCACCAGTGCCCCCCCTGGGTAATCCTGTTGAACCAGATGAATGAGAGTTACGGTGCTGAAATCAGTTGGGTTAATCAAACACAATGGACAAACAAAGATTAGTTAAGCAGATGCTAACATCTCTTGATTAGAGGGTAAGGGCGACTAGGCGTAAAAACACAAAGTATCGTAGTCACCAGACATTGATGTAGCTGTCCGTCCTGTCCCATGATGTGCTCATGTGGTCCAGCACAGATCATATTCTCTGCGAGTCCAGGATTCACACATTTGCATTCACTGTGTCCGACGATCTGTACTTCTTCACTGGTTCCAGAAGGTGAACCTGATCAGAAAGAAATAAAAGTCAAGATAAAAACAGGGACACAAGAAAAGCAGAATAAATAGTGATGTATCATGCAGTATCACCAGATTATGTAAGTCAACATGAATAAGGTAATGTTTCTCACCACTCATGACCCAGCTTTCCAACCCAGAGTGTAAAGCGCTGCCTGCTGCGGCTAAGTGGACTGGATATATGGAGTCTGTAAAGTTCACGGGTCCTGACAGCTTCAGAAGACAAGCTGATCGATTATTGCATTCGATGTGTGTGACGATCCTGGATTCCTCGTAGTTTCTTGAAGGATCTGAGATGTTCGTGAGTCCTAAAAACACTTTCATGGGATCACTGGGTCTTAATGAAGAAAGTAAAAAGATGCATGTTTAACCTGTTAGCCTCAAAAATAACAATTGTACAACAAAGACATGTAGACAATACGGATCACTTTATCATTGATCATCTTGCTGTGTTAAATACTCTACTTTAATGGTCAAAACCTCCTGACAACATTCGTTTATCTATTCTCAATGTTACAGGGGAAGGATGACTTAATTTAGAGATGGAAAACATAGACTTTGGTTAAATTTTGTAGACCCGGCTTGGACTAAAATGATAAGGACGCATGCGTAGACATGGTTGAGGGAGAGGGACATCCACCAAATTAAAGAAAACAGTTGGTACGTTTATTTGCTGTTCAAAATAAGTTGATTTATTGCCTCAAGGGTACTGAAACTGGATTATTAAAAAACATTGGTCCAACTGAATTTTTACTGATTCGAAACCTGAGTCGTAACTGGATAATGCGGTTGGACATCAGTTTTATCCTCTGTATATACACTCCTTGTTGGACTGAAACTGGCCTAAGTTGTCTGTGCGAGCTCCAGGGTTTACACCCCAGTTTTAAGTAGAATTTGGATCATGCTAAACGTGTTGCTTGGACACCAAGTAATAAACAAAATTTAAACAGAGAGGGAAAACTTCCCAATTATACAAACAGGGCGAAAGAAGTCTTGATGTATTCATCGTTGAACGCACATTTTGTGGATTGTTTTGTGTATCTAGTCGACCAGTAGACTGTAGTGCTGTTAAATCACCTAACTGAGCAATGACCGTAGCTCGACTTTTCTGTGTATGTAAACATACTGGCTAACAGCAACACAGACTGGGTTTCAGCGGTGTGACCGGGGTGTTTGTTTAACAAAAAGAAACGCTCACAGCCAAGTTACAGAAGGAGGACTTTACACCTGAACTGCCACTATTTCCTGCATCTGTTAAGAGCACAGAGAAAAGCTAATGTTGGGATTTTATTGCCTTAAAAATGTTACGAACAGATCTTTTATTTTGCAAGAGTATCATCATAAGTTCACAAGAAAAAAAAAAAATTCAGGAAAAAATCTCATACTTGGATCCACAGTCAACATCCGTCAGCACCCACTCCTTGCTGATTAAGGAGCCTGAACATTGGTGACCCTCCTCAGTGGTAATGAAAACATGCCAAGGCCAGTAGTCCGGGGGGGCATGCCATCTGATTAATATGCTACAATCTGAGAAAAAATGTTTTTAAAATTGAAATAAGCAACACATTTGTGTCCCATTTAGACTGACATAAAAACTTCATGTGGTTGGAATTCAACAACAACAACAACAACAAAAAAACTACAGATTTTTGTCATAAATCTCAAAAAATGAGGTCTAAAGTGAAGAACTTACAACAGGAGATGCTTACCTAATGGAGCTGAGTGACTCCCTGAGAAAAAAGTAAACATGAGACAAAGATAGTGTGAGTGAAGCAGATCATCACAAAGAGAGAAAGACAACATTTAAAAATTCAGTTGATTCAACTTTTCATCACTGTTCCCAGCAGGACACACATTAATGCACACCTGTGTTAAAAATTGTGCTTGGTTTCAGTCTCATTTTTGTCTTTTGTTGTTTAGTCAAGATTTAGTCAGAGAATTCTGACATTTCTCTGCGATTTCTACTCCACCTATCTTCAACTGAATACTCTACAAAGACAAGATATTAATGTTCATATTTCATTGCAAATATTCACTCAATTTTTATTTGATCCAGCAACAGGTGAGTCGAGTAATAAAAGTTTGAGTCTGCATTAATTCCGGCGCCCCCTGTGGGTTTTTCATCTGAGTGCTTCACAAATGAACAGATCAACGGAAACTTATGGCAATCAGAAAAATAATAAAGGGCCAAAAAAATAACAGGAGACAAACAAAAATAATAAAGGACAAAAAAGAGAGAGAGGGGAAGGTTTTAAAAAGTCAGTAAAATCAAACTAATAAAGTTTGTAAAGGTGGAAAACAAAAACAAAATTTAAAAAAGATTAAATACCTGAAAAAGTAAAATGAAGTGAAATAAAGACTGTATGGAGTTAAAACATTGGTCATATTCTATCTCTGAATTGCAATCCATATCACAAACTTTTGGAGCAACGTGAGTACAGAGTATCAAGATGAGTTTAAAAGAAGAAGGGAGCCAGTGCAGAGCTGTCTGACTCACTTCTGTCTGCTTTTTCCGTTTAAAGACTTAAACTCTTCACTGAATGTTATTAAATGGGTTTAAATCAGTCAAAAAAGTTGGCATTATGATGAAAGTTTAATTGTAAAAGTCTTTCTTACCACTGAATGAGAGGATGATCATCACGGCTGCACTACACACAAACTGGTAGAAAGCCATCGTCCGACTGCGCTGCCTCCTTCGCCTCTCATCACCTTTCTGTCTTTTCCCAAAGTCTTATCCTAACTTAGCCTTGGCCTCAGCGTCACACCTCCCACTGAGCAAACAGTACTCATTTTTCCATCCACTGACCTTTACCTTGAGCTCTGGATCAGACGAATAAAAGAAACACCCTTTTCATGTTTGCCTTGATGATTTTTTTGCCCAAAAGCTGTAAATCAACTTGGCACAAACGGGGAATTTAATCCCTGGATTTGTTACCTTAAGAGCTTTGACTATCAACACAAAGTTTAAATATCTCAACCAGGGAAGATGTGACAACATAATTTATTAGTGTATTTTGTGTTTTAAGTGTTTTGGTTTGTCTCTTGTAAAAACTCTGTTGCGCTTGATTTAAGACACATTAACTCAAAAATCCAGTCTCACTTCAGACTTAGATTGTTTGTAATGTTTTTAAAAATTTTCCAGTGAAAGAAGAGAACATTGTCTTGCTGATCTCTTTATTTAAGACATTTTCTTAATTCAGGAAATTTTTACTCTGTGTCACTATTGAAGAACTTTCTCTTTGAGTACAAGACAATACATAGGAAAGTATGATTTTTTAAAGTCACTAATTAACAAAAAAATTCAACTTATTGTTGAAACTTGGTAGCTGCAAGTCTTTCCCGTACGTGCTTGATGGACCACTTTAGTTGCTCAACAGTCCAGGGTCTCTGTTGTCCTATTTCACGCCACTCAATGGGAGACAGGTCTGGACTGCAGGGAGGCCAGTCTGGTACCCTCACACTTTAATAAGGCCACACTGTTGTAAGATGGACAGAATGTGTCTTGGCATTGTCTTGCTGTAGTTACCGAGAATGTCCTTGAAAAAGACGAGGCTTGGATGGCATCATATGTCGCTCCAAAACCTGTACCTTTCAGCATTAATGGAGGCTGCACAGATGTGACAGTTAGCCAGTCCTTGGGCACTAACACTTGCCAGACCACAGCCCTCTTTTTCCACTTTGGGTCAGTCCATCCCAGATGAGTTTGGGTCCAGAGAAGCCGGCGGTGTTCCTGGCTGTTGTTGATATCTGGCTTTATCCTTGCATGGTAGAGTTTGAACTTGCACTTGTAGATGAAGAGGTGAACTGTTTCAAGGGCCCACCTGAGTAGCCTGGCTGGGCCATCCAGTTGCGTGAATCACTTGCCATTCCTTCCCACAACAGTCTGGACTTCGGCAGGCTTTTATCGATCCTTTCCCAACTTCTTTGGAACTGGAGTTTGAACACAAGTCTTGCTTAAATACCATATTCAAAATACAATACGTAACACTTCTGTGGCACTGAGCTCCAAAACAAATACTTTGTCATTTATTTGTCTCTCAAAAAGTTGGCAATCCCAACGATGTCTGCCACGGCAGAGGAACCTTGAGAGCTGTATTTACTTTTGTCCAAAAAAAGTTACGTGCCTTTCAGAAGGTTTCTGTCGGGAACTTCCGGTGGGAGTCTTTCAGTTTGAAATGTGTGCTGGCTGAAATGTGAATGAAACACTAAAGTTTATCCTGGTATTTCCCTCAAAGTGTCAAAAACGAGACATGCTCTGTGGGGGACACAACTTCATGTTGTTTCAAGACTGATGAATGCGCGAAAAAGAAAACAGCTTCAACAAAATAAGTCAAAAGTGCGTTCATGTCATCATTTATTGCCTGCAATCCCCATGAGATACCATCATAAATCACATCCATTGATTAAAACTTTTCACAGATGAAAAACAATGAAAATACAGTATATTTGTTAAATGTAAAGATAACAACCTCTGAGAAATCACTAACATTTTCAAAGAGTAACCCAACACTTCTTCTCCAGTGCTTTAAGATACATCACTCTCTGGTGGAAGTACATATTTAAAATCACACCAACATTTTCAATTTTCCACCAACAATGTCTCCAAACTAGAGATGTAAAAACACAGTTTATTCAGAGATAAATGAGTGACAGATTCCCAGTCCGCATGCTGTATATCTGGTACAATAATAAACCCTGCGATTCAGTTCTGAGATTTGGCTCCCCTGTTTTCTACATTGAAAGGATGTGCAAAAGGAAACCCAGTGAGTTAGCCACTCGGGCTTAAAGGCGGAATCCTCACACTGTCATTCATCACCAATTAGTAGAAATAACCCAAGTAGGAAAGAGCCAGAACACAGAGTGAGATGAAGAGGGTGGAGGGCATTACGCTGATACCACTGTCAAATATGGTCAGGCAGCCTAAAACTGGATCTGGAAATTCACACTCATGTGTTGGAGGTATGGGACACCCGAGAGGACCTGCACACAAAGGAGGTAGTGGTTCCGTAGGACAGGTGTAGTATTTGTCTGGGTCCTCTTCTTGAGGTTCGAAATCGATGAAACCTATATTGCTGTTGTTTGTTTCACGGGCGATGAAGTCCTCGAGCGCACTCACAGGGATGTAGGAGTTGAGAAATTCATGTCGGGGGCAAACACCACCAAGGTGACTTAAGCCAACCTGGACCCAGGTATCATTGACAATGACCACCAGTGCAGACCCTGACCGATCCTGTTGGGAAGGATTCACAGTTATTTCTCTAGCAGAGGAAATTTGCGAGTGAAAAAATTAGCACAGAAACATCCATCCTGTCAGAGCACAGAAGGTTAGACCTTTTTGATCATCATCAAACCTGGATTGAGTCTCAAAAAGGCGACCAAACTTTTGACTTAAAACAGAACTATAAAATCAAAACTGACAAAGGTAGAAGCAAAAAGTTGTCAAGAACAAGGAGTCAGTCAAGTGGCCGTCAAGGATAAGGAACTCGTGTGGTGCACGAAAAATGGGATTAAGGGCCAACCCCAATTGTACCCCCTAACCCCTTGTCTTACCCCTCAGCCCCCGGTTTTGCGCATTTAAGCAAAGGCGTATCCCAGTTCTCTGTAAGGTTAAGGGGAAGGGCTAAAGGCAAGGGGTACACAGCCCTTGAAACGAAGACAAACCGGGACCTATTGAGGTAGGGGGTAAGATTTTGATATGATTTTCATGGTAATGACACTTGTGGTTTTTACCAGATATTCAATTCTTTGCTATAAATATTATTGATGTTTTGAATTGTTTTTGTTCCTAACAAACTGACTTTACTACAGTGTTCTGCATTTCATGAATGATTAGACAGACTGATCAGACAGCTAAGCTACTTTCAGTACATTGGAACCTCTAATGTAGAAGCTACATCAGGAGCTTCTACGTATGCACTTGTATGAGTAAAATACCATGCTTTGCGTTCTTTTCAACTGCTATTGCTAGTAACAGCTAACAACGGCTAAACGTTACAACAGTAGGCGTCCATGGCTTTTCGACTTGTTTACCGGTCGTGTCGTATCAGCCTACGATACAGCCAGCAAACGGCAAGGCAAGGCGGGAATCGAATGGAGTGATGGGAGTGATAATCTAGTCCCACTCCACACTTGCAGGTTTTTGACATCACTCTGTGGAGGTTCAGTTTAGGGCTGCAACTAACGATTATTTTGATAATCGATTAATCTGCCGACTATTTTAATAACTAATCGATTAATCGGATAAACAGGCTAAATTCATCAATGCAGCTGTAAATAGCAATAGCATAGGGCTTTAGTTTATCATATGGGTTTATCTGCCATGAGGTGTTGAGGTCTCTGCATGTGTAGGTTACTGACTTACTGTAATCATCCGGTCTTTCTCGTCCTAATAAAAACCTGCTCTATTTCGGCGAGTGTCTGTCTTCTTCTGTAGTCAAACCGCAAGATATCAAAATCTACCCGGATACAACAATGCTGCTTTTTGATTGGCTGTTCAGTAGATATACTTTATTTGATTGGCTTGCGCGTGGCACGCAACTTCTGAACTCTCGGAGAAACTCAGCTGATTTCCACCTGTTCCATAGTCAAAGAAGTGCAACTTCGTGGACATCACCGTGTTCAAAATGCGTGAGAAATACAATGTGTGGTGTGTCAGCGTGTGAACGAGTGGGAATGCGTGTGTCATACGCTGAATGCTTGAGACTTGAGAGCCCTGTGCTCGCGCATCATCGATGTACTCCCGTGCCATGCAAAACGGTCTTTGCAAATGTTGCACTGAACGCCTTCCTTTTCAGTCTTGGTAAAGTTTTCCCACACCACTGATGTTTTAGGTCTGGATTTGGGTTGGGTTGTGTCCATGTTTTTCTCAGCCGCTGTCTCGGCCATGGCTGTTTCTTTTCTGTGCGTCCTGCTGATGTTTACATGCCGGTGTCCATGGACATATATAAAGACCCGACAAATCGATTACAGAATTAGTTGGCAACGAATTTTTTCGTCACGACGAATCGACTTAATCGATTCGTTGTTGCAGCCTTAGTTCAGTTTGTAAACAGGTCCCCTTTACTCAGGTGAACTTGAACTGATCAGACGAAAATGGGAAATCAGTTAAAGATCAAAAATTGTACCTACATGACATCTACCCGGCACCTCATGAGTCTTTAGACTTCTTCTGCCCCTCCCAAAGCTTCTCTTGACCCTGTGCTCCTTGCTCTCCTCGCTCTCCTCACTCTCCTCGCTCTCCTCGCTCTCCTTGCTCTCCTCGCTCTCCTTGCTCTCCTCGCTCTCCTCGCTCTCCTCACTCTCCTTGCTCTCCGCCCTCTCCTCGCCCTCCTCTGGTGGTCCAGCACAGATGAAAAAGTCGCCGTCATCCTGAGGCAATTGGCATTTGCATTGGTTTTTTCCAATAATCTGTACCAGCTCGTGGCCCCCAGACTCTGAACCTAGACAGAAACAAGTCAAAGTCAAGATTAAAATGCTATTATGTAAACTTAACTTTATTTAATGCAGTTTAATCAAAGCCTGTGTTAGTGTTGATTCATAAATGTTTGCCACTGTATGCATGTTCTGTGATCTCACCACTGGGGACCCAGGCATCCATGCCCGAGTTGAAAAAGCTGTCTCTTGCAGCTAAACAGATTGGAGAGAGGGTATCTGTATAGGTGACGGGTTTCGACAGCAGCAGAAGACAAACATGAAATTCGTCACTGCATATTTTTGAGTCAACTGTCCTCGATTCTTCATATGGGTTCATTGGATCCGACATGTTCTTGTATCCGAGGTGCACCATCGTGTAGCTATCAGTGCTTTAAGAGACCAAAAAGAAAAAGAAGATGCTCATGTCAAACTTGTCCACCTTCACGAAACAACTCTACAAGAAGTTGGTGTTGGAAATATTTCAGACTAAAATCATGGTTTCCATGTGGGTTCTGACTTCATATGGAATCAGCATCCAAAACTGACAAGCATTAGAAGTAACAGAAGATAACTGGTGGGTGTGGCCTAAATAGTGCAGTTAGCCACGCCTACAATGTTCATAATCCAGCCTCTCCACAGTTTAACCTAAAAGATGGCTTTCCTTGGGCTTACGCATCTTGGCTCGACCTTCCAGAATGCGTCAGACTCTGATGTGCACAGATTAATCCTGTTCATCCACATAACTGATTTACTGGATTTGCTTGAGTAAACGTTTCCGCCCTGCTTGGAAAATTTCAGCAGATAGCCATCAAGTCTCCAAACAGACTGAATCGTCTTGAAAAGAGGTTAAGGCTTTCCACTTCCACCTTTCTGTGACCTTTTGTGTCACGTTAACAAGCAAAAATAAACACAAAGGTTAAAAGGAAAGTACTCAAATAGTCTCTTACAGATATCCACAGTTATAATCAGTCAGCACCCACTCGTCCTTGATTAGTGACCCCGTGCATGGCTCGTCAATTTTGATAGTAACCGCCCAAGGCCACTGATGTGAATGTTTATCAACCATTCTGCCGCAACCTGAGAAGAGAAGATTTCAACATTGGGAATATACAGGAACAAGTTGATATTTAAATTTTATAAATAAATGTAGAAATTGTGTTAAAATCTGAAGAACTTGTAACATTGGATACTTACGCTGATATGAGTGGCACCCTGACAAATAAAAATAAAAAAACAAATTATTAAGAGTGAGGCAGACGAGACCAACATACGTCCAGATTAGCTCCAAAAGCTACTGTAAGAGGTTATTGCTAATATAAGACAGACAGAAACTGACGCTGATTCTTCTCTATGACCTGCGAAGGCAAACTAAAGATGTAATCATTCACTGTCTGGAGCTACCGCTTTATAAGGTAGACATGATAAAATAGAGATTTAAAAGTATAAATGTATATTTAGAGATGAGAAAACAGGCAAAACCACCTGCAAAACCACCTTTCATGTTCATTTAGCGTGCATTTTGGCACCCCCTGAAGGCACAACAACTTGCCAATGTTTTCTTTTATACGCTGCTGTGATGTCCCATCCTACCGACTCACTGACTTATCATTCATGAGGAGTGTAAACAGAGTATTAACAGTTACAGGAAACTGTAAAAACAGAGCTGTTCGGCTGTCACCTACTTGCTCACATCGGTTTCAAGCATTCAAAATTACACTTAAACTGTCAGCCCTGATCTAGGTCATAAAAACTGATCAACACAAATTTCAAGACTATTCATGAGCTTCAAAAACCACCTATTATAATTATTATTATTATTATTATTATTATTCGCTATAATATGACTTTTATTTATAACTATTAATTCAGTCTTTAGCTCTTTACTTCAACACAATATGAATCAGCCAGTAATCTGAGAGGTAAGAACAGGCAGGTGAAACTTATTCAGCTCCCCTCACATCTCCTTAAGTCCAGCATGAGAAAATTCTGTCTTACCATTGGGTGAGAGGAGGATCAGCGCAGCTACACCACACAGAAACTGGTAGAGAGCCATTTTCCTGCTGTGCCTTCCTCACCCGTCTCTCTCTCTTTTATAAGCCTTGCAGCAGATACCTAGCCTCACCCCACAGTGCCACACCTTTTATCTGAGCATACACCGTTCATTTATCCATCTGACCTGCCTCTTCTATTCATACTTGAGCTATGGATCAACACAATAGAAGAAGAATCCTTGCCAACATGTTTGTCTTGATGCCTGTGTGTTTGTGTTCAGCTTTGGCATTCAAAAGGCTTCAGACAGTTCTATACAACCACGCATGACTGAGGATTGGATCAACTCATGTGTGAGAGGCTGAAATCCAAACTGGACCACAATCATGACGGGTGCAGAAAGAAAACTTGAGTCCCAATTTATGTAGACCCCAATGCAGTCTTGGCAGATGATTGACAAACATGAATCTGGTTCTGCTCAGGGTTTCTGCCTGTTGAAGGAAGTTCTTGCTTTCTAAATTCTGCAAAGTAGGGCTGGGGGATACGGGAAAATGTGAATCACAATATATTTTTGTCATATCAGTCAATATCGATATATATCACGATATAAAAAGAGAAATTTAACAGTGCTTCTGTTTCTACTGCATCTGTGAAGTCTTTGTGGCTCTTCGGCGTTTTGTCATAAGACGTTGTGCTAAAGAAAGCGAACTAAATGGTCGGCTGTTTTGGCTGCACAGGCGCCATGGCCTCCTTGCTCCACTCGAGTTTGTAACCTTTTGCATTGCGTGTGCTTTGCTGCGTGGCGCTACTTCAGGTGGTGACAAAGATTTGAGGTATTCCCCCAACTTTACGAGAACGCGTACTCGATGTAATTTGCAGCACACATTACTCTGCTTCATGTCGTTTTCGTGCCGGTGTTGTTGACGATGTCGTCATCTGTTGAGCCTTCATCTGCATTTCTGTTGGGGGTAGCACTCTTTTTCTTTTTTCTCCCCGACACAACTTCATGTAGCTGCAGCGTGCCACTGTGCAGCTGTTTGCTACTTGGTTCTAATTCAGCACATGATTGGTTCAGCGTGAAGGGGACCCGGAGCAACTCCCCTTTTCATTGGCTATTCATAAAGTCTACCAAAATATGGCAGAATGCCGACTATCGAAAAGGATATTGACTGTGTTTTATATTGATATTAAGGGGAATCAATTTTGGATATATATCGTTATCGTTAAATTGCCTGACTCCTCTGCAAACTGGATCTTATCTTAAGAGATGTGAGCCCATTTTTACACTGGGTCGTTCTGACTGTCTAGACCAGCTTTTTTGTCATGCGACTTGTGTGAATTGGCGCTGTATAAATAAAGATCGATTGATTTAAGACCTTACAATGCAGTCGTGTGTCGCCTTGGTTAGTTAGCCAACTATCAAAAGGACTTACTATAAAGTCCGGCTTTGCTTTCCCTCACTTTGCACCTCTTTGCATTTTAAGGTATCATTGCTAAAAACTGAACCAGGCTTTAACTGGTTTTAACTCAATCTCTGTCCCTACTCAGCACTATGGCATCTTTTCCCAAACAGACTTAAATCATACCGTCGCACAATGAAGTACCTCTCTGTATCGGTATAAAGGATGAAACCCACTTTATAAGATGCTAAAAATATGTCAGATTGCATCTTTGCACACAGTTCTTAAATTTAGAGTTTAAATCCAGTCATTACTGAGTCTAGGCTTTGGTTTTATGCAACAACACCTTTTGTGTCGCAAAATATCCATGCCCTCTGAGGGAACTTTGACACGCCAAACTGGTTGGTCCTGATTCGGTTTTCCAAACACTTGTAAACAATGTAGAGTGAATTCAAAGCTTGGTATTGTTGGGAGGCTTCTTGTTGTGCCAGACCATGTGATGCCAGATCTGCTGCCTGGCATCTAAGAGGGCTCATCTGTAGGAATGTCTGCAAAGCTGCTCAGCCAAAGACTTTACGCAACCTTCGCATGGCTCTTTTGCTCTTTCACCCATCAAACCAGTTGATCGTCATTTCTTTTTCAGAGATCATGATAGGACAAGGCAGGAAATATATAATAAAGGTAACACATGGATCATCCTCTTTCATATACCAGACCACGTGACAACAAACCTTCGTGTGCCCTAAAACGGAACAAAATTCATATTGTTTTGGGTGGAAAAATACATGACCATGACCAGAAGATCACCATCCCGATAATTCTTCTTGTGAAAAACCCAAATTCAGCCAAAATTGTTAAAAGACAACATATTTACATAGTCTTGTTTTTGTAAAAGCCTGTTCTTGACAGGTTTATGAGTGCAGCCTAAGAAGCTACAGCGCCCAGACTATCTCCTAAATGGAAAATATCTTTTCTAGCCAACATTATACCTTAAAAACAAACAGGATGTGCCAAATAATCACATGTAACTCGTCGCTCTTTCACTCATTAAACCAGCTGGTCAAACTTTTCCACGCTGGTACTTTTGACATTTACAAGGAACTTCTCTGGTATTTGGCTGATTTCAAAAGCTGTCAATCTGTCAAAGTTGTTTTCAGTCTTTGTCTGGTTTCGCTGAGCCGAGCCAGCGCTGTTTGTTTTTGCACTTAGGACACACCCTCCTCAGCCGTATCACGGAAAATCAACCATCTTTTTATCTGAAAAATGACAATGCAAAACCTTTATTTGCTTAAGTAATTTATTGGTATTAATTTTGACCTTATACTGAGGATATCATCCACTCAATCTCTCTGCATAATCTATCGTAATCTGAGGAACATCAGAATAAAATTTAAAACTATGTCTTGAGAACTGTGCACTCTTTCAGAATGAGAATCCTTCAACTTTAGCAAAAGGAAGTGCAAACGACCATAGTTATAGTTTTATTGATTCACTATGTAAATAATTTTGCGCATATTTTTGACAGGGTAGTTAACTTTTATTTTGAGTTTCTGAAAACTTTTTGTTTCTTTGCATTTCCCTCCAGTTAAAGAAAAATACGCCGTAGTATCGGTTCCGGTATCAAAAAGGTCAACATTGGAATCTAATGGTGAAATAGTTTGGTAACACCCATGTGGCACCAGCTTTCTTTGTAATCAAAACAAATGCAGACAAAAAAAAATATCCACCCATCACCTCCGACTCCAACTGAGTGCATCGGTGAGATCTTTTCAACATGTGAATATTTCCACTCTCTGTTCCCGAGGCACACCCAGGACTGTTTCACATAGTTTTCTGGCTTTTGTGCCGTGACATGAACATCGAGCTCATTAAAACAACAAAAGCACGCTGTACTTTTGTGTTGACTCAGCCTCTCAGTGCGCCCTTTTGTCTTGAGTAGATGTTGACAGAAAGGATCGCGGTCGCCATCGGGTAGAGCAGGGGTGTCAAAGTCAAATGGACGGAGGGCCAAATAAAGAATTTAGCTACAAGCCGAGGGCCGCACTGATCGAATGTTCATTGAACATTTTTTAAATGACGCATATAGTCTAGTGAACCTAATTGAACCTACTGAAAACCTAACAAATATATTTCAATATGATCAGATAAATAAAGCAATATTTTCTTATGGCTCTGTCAGTAATCTTTAATTTTCAACAGACACAAAAGACAAATTTCCTTTATATAAAAATCCCCATAACATGAACATTAAATGAAAGAAACAGGTATTATTCAAGGCACCATCAGTAGCCTATATTTTCTATTTTAGCAAAAGTGGGCTAAATTTACTTCAAAGAAAAAAATAATAATAGCAATTTTCTATCATCCACTCAACTGAAATATTTTTAAAATATCGTTTTAATTCCTCGGCCTTCTGTAGCCTTTGTTCCATGTCCATATTCTTGTTTTTGTCCGCGTGTTTCGTTTCATAATGTCGTCTCAGATTATACTCTTTCAGTACCGCCACACTTTCTCCACACAGAAGACACACAGGTTTTCCAGCTACCTCCGTGAACATATACTCCGACTCCCACCTTGTTTGAAACCCCCGGTTCTCAGTGTCCACCTTCCGTTTTGCCATTTTTGATGGGTATCTGAAAGTTAATTTTACTGTTATGCTGACGACTGCTGTGCTAAT